TCTGGCGCGCGCTCTGCGTGCATGGGTTTCTGGATGGAGGAAAAGTCGTCTACATTGGAATATGCATCGGGCTGTCTTGGGTGCACCAATTATGTATCTGCGATGGCATTGTAGGCATGGGCTTTTTTCGCGCAAGTATATTTGATACGGTAACTTCTTTCTCGCGAGCTTTTTAGGAGCGAATAGGGTGGTTTGAAGCTGTGGCGTAGACGTGTCGCGAGAACTGTAGACAATCATCATATACATTGCTATGTGAATGGACATGCAATATCCAGTCCAATATCTCCCTTGTCTAAATGCTCTCCATCACACCACGCATTCTTACACATCCACCCCATCCTGATATATCCTCCCATCCTCGCACTTCGCCCCGCTCAACACGGCCCTCACCTCCACACAGCCCTCGTCGCAAAACCCGTAATGCGTGCCGTCGATGCAGATCAAGTCCTTGCCCTTGGGACATGTAATGCATTCTTTGCTGTCGTACGCGTACACGTTGTCCATCTGCTTTGCCCCGGCGCCGTCGTTGGCGCGGGCAACGAAGCGGTGCGTGCGGCGGGTGGAGGCGTATGCTGTCTGGTGTCGAGCATTGTTGTCTTTGGGTGTGGACGGGGTGGTGTTTCCCAGGGCGGGGTGCGGCATCGAAGATGTGCCTGGGGCTGGCGAGGGGCTGTTGTGAGTTGGCGGGCTCGCTGTTGGGGGTGTTGCTGGCGCGCTGTGGCCAGGCATGTTGTGCGACATGGCATGCGAGCACGTAGTGATTGCTGATTCTGGTGGACTTGCTGGGGCCGGTGCGGGCGCGGGGCCATGGCTGGACTTAGTCGTAGCACTCGCTATCGTTGACGGGGTGATGCTCGGGGTGTTGGGCTTTCTGGGCCACTTGGGAATACCACTAATAATACATGGCTTCATGGGATCGGGGCACCGTATCGCGGCTGGATCTGATGGCACCTGCATGCTGTCTGTCGACGAAGCGGGAAGAGGTGCGCCTGTTGTTTTCTCAAGTGCTTGAGTTACAGTAAGTACGACCGTCTTGGTGATTCTGGCAGCTTCAGCGGTGCCCGCATCTTCGCCCTGTGGAAGAGCGAGGGCGTTGGCTAATAGTGTGTAGAGGCCGATAACAGCAGTAAAGTGTGTATGCATGCTTCGATTTTGTGCAATCGTAGTTGGCGGGTGGCAGGAACGATCTGAGAGTTTGGCTTGAGACCGAGGAGGTAACAAACTCAGGAAGAAAGGCGCTGAGAGATGTAGGCGACTTGTGTCGTGAAGAACGCAAGTCGTGACATTTGAGGTCGACATTGTCGCGGCATCGTGCTGTGAGTGAGAAGCTCTGAATTTGTGTATTTGAACACTTGCAAACCGCCCGCTATTCGTCAAGTGTGCGACGCATTGAATATTCGCTTTTGCATGCGCGAATGGGCAGACGTAGATGCCGCGTTTGCTGGTTGGTCATCTTGACACAAATGGAGAACGGTCCTACCACAACGCACGCAAGCCGAGCCGGTCACGGTGGTACAGCGGCCGGTCAATGGTGGGCTTTTGACTCGTTGGTCAGCATGCGTAGAACAAGCAATTGATGGCGTTCGTATGGTGGTGAGATGCGGCAAACACAAGGCCTCCTTCGACGTCGGTGAAGCGCGCCTCAATTTGTGGTTTGTTCTTTCTCCTCTTTCTCCTCTTTCAAAACTTGCAAGACTCTCCGTGTAATTCTATCACGCTCTTGCACATTGACTGTCCCATACGTCTCTTTCGCCTGCTTGAATACATCCTCTTCCCATCCATCTCCCACATTCACCTTTCCAGCATCATCCCAGCACGCCTGTACTGTACCCCCAATATTCTTGAAGAAGCCCTCAAGGCCCGCTGGTCCGCCACCTGCATGATAGCTCTTGAACGGGCCAGCGACCGCCCATCTCGGACCCATACTCGACTCTACTATTTGGTCAAGTTCGGAAACAGATACGACGCCTTGGTTGACTAGATGGATCGCTTCGCGCAGCAGAGCAAAAGCGAGCCTATTCGCCACGAACCCGGTCGTTTCCTGTTTGATATGGATTGGCACCCTTCCTCGGCTCTGCCAGAAGTCTCGAGTGCGTGCAATGACTGTTTCCGAAGTTTGCGGACTCGGTACGAGTTCTAGGAGCGGCATCAATTGAGGTGGATTGTACGGATGGACGATGAGCAGTCTTGTCTTGTCTTGCATCGCCTGTGCTTGTTGCGATGCTGGAATTCCGCTCGTGCTACTCCAAAGCAATGCATCATTTGGCGCAGACTTCTCCACCTCTTTCCACAGCTCTTTCTTCACGTCCAGATTCTCTGGACCGGATTCTTGGACAACGTGAGCGTCTGCGACGGCGTGTGGGAGAGATGTGGCGATCCTAATTTTTGCAATGTCACTAGGTATTGCCTCGTCCGCGAAAAGCCTCGGTAGTTGTTCATGGACATAGTCATGTAGATTTGGCCGGGTGTCGTAGATGGTGAGCTGGCAGGGAATCGCGCTGGAAAGATGGAACGCCGCGAAAGACAGACCAATCGTGCCGGTGCCGATCAGAGTGATCCTCAGTTCTTCGTTTGTCGCCATGACCTTCAATGCCTTAAATCTCTGCTGGTTACCAGGATGGCATGAGGCTCTGTCGGTTGGTCTGGTTGTAATTGTATGAGGCGTCATTGATGATGAGCGATCTAGTCTTTATCGAGACGGCTCGGAAGTACCGGTAGCTTTCCCAACCCCGCCCTCTGCACCTCTATCCCCGCTTCACGATCGACTCGACTACCGCGAATCCCGACGCAGATACGCGCGCCGAGGATATGGACTGCAGCATTGTCATGGAAGAATGGCTACATGTTTTCCCTCCATTCGAGTCTATAATCGCCTTACGATCGATTGAACCAAGAGAAGGACGCGTACTCTTTAGGCACAATAACTTTCATCAAGGACACTCCTTGGGCAGGTGACGTGTGTATCCGAACTGACGGGCAGCCACCATGGTTATATTCGAATCAAAACAGCCGCCAATTGAGTGTATGACATCTTTAACAATACTTTCCGACCAGCTAACCCTCAACAGTACCGACAGAACTTACCGTTTGGAACTGGTTGTTCGACTCTTCATACTCGCCAATTAATAAATCCCCTCCAAATGAACTGGCCGGTTTTCAAAATGCCTTGACAAAAGAGCGCGTCAACTGGGCGGACGTTCAGAGGTACTCAACCTACATCTCCACGGCCTTGATTAAGAAGTATGGCCTTAAGGTCGGCGAAACCGTATCGCTCTTCAGTCAAAACACCGTTTGGTATCCTGTCGCGATGTTCGCAGGACTGCGTGTAGGAGCAAAAATCAGCGGTGCGAGTCCAGCGTACAGCGTCGAAGAAATGACGTTTGCGCTCAAGACGGCGGACGCGAAGTTTCTTATGACTACTCCGGCCAGTATGGAGGTCGCAGCTGCGAGTGCTAAGGCTGCTGGATTGCCGCAATCAAAAGTGTTTCTTCTTGAAGGAGAACTCCCCGGCTACACCACAGTCCAAGACCTTATTCGCATTGGCAAATCGTACGGGGAGTCTGGGCAGGCGCCCGCTTTCAAGCTGCACCCGGGGCAGAAAAACAAGGATGTCTGTGGTTTCTTGTCCTTCTCATCCGGCACCACTGGCTTGCCCAAGGCCGTTATGATCTCACACCAAAATGTCATAGCGCAATGTCTTCAAGTCCAACAAATCACACCAGAAACACAGAAGAAGATTATGGCCGTTCTTCCGCTGTTTCACATCACTGGTCTTGTTCACCAAATGCACCTTCCAGTCCTGTTGAACGCCGAAGTCGTTATGCTACCTCGGTTCACAATGGAGAAGATGCTCGACATTATTTGTGAATATAAGCTTAGCGAGCTACTACTCGTACCTCCTATATTGATTAGGCTCGTTCGCGATCCGCTTGTTGATAAGTACGACCTCAGCCATGTCACTCGCTTCTCATCAGGCGCTGCTCCTTTGTCGGAGGAGATCATCCAGCAACTCCAAAAGAAATTCCCTCAAACAGGTTTCAAGCAAGGTTACGGCATGACTGAAAGCTGTTCCTGTATAACTGCGCATCCACCAGAGAAGTTTTCTTACAAGTACGCGCACTCTGGCGGAGCAATTGTCGCCTCTACCGAAGTCAAGATCATCAAGGACGATGGCACCGAAGGAGACGTCGGCGAAGACGGCGAGGTGCTAGCTCGCGGACCACAAGTCGTGATGGGCTATCTCAACAACGAAAAGGCTACTCGCGAGACCTTTGATACGGAAGGCTGGCTACACACAGGTGACCGTGGCGCAATCGACGAGGAAGGCATGATCCACATCACCGATCGAATCAAAGAGCTGATCAAGGTCAAGGGCATCGGTGTTGCTCCTGCTGAGATTGAAGATCTGTTGCTTGGACACCCCAACGTCGAAGACGTCGCTGTGATGAGTGTCAAGGACGACTACAGTGGCGAGCTTCCTAAAGCCTACATCGTGCTGAAACCAGGCCTCGAGGAGAGTTCGGCACTCGGTCAAGACATCATTGCATATGTCAAGGAGAAGAAAGTCAGATACAAGTGGGTCAAGGAAGTCGAGTTCATCAACGAAATCCCAAAGAGCCCAAGTGGCAAGATACTGAGGCGAGTGTTGCGGGACAAAGAGAAGACTGGCAGATTTGGAATGGTGGTAAAGGACGAGACGAGATCAAAATTGTAGTTTACGTGGTTTGGGCTTGGTGCTGCGTTCGAACTTGTGTGGTGATGATGGATTGGGCTTTCCATTCAGCTACTTATGGTTTGAGAAGTGTGTGGTCTACGCAATGGGCGCTGCTCTATGTGGTGGAGTATGCTACAACCCTAGATCGCAGAATTCTGCATCAGATCCGCTCTACCTCACTACTTCTCCCCCCTTTACCCTAATCTGTGCAACAATACATCATGTATATATCTTTCACTGCCAATACGCCAAGTTCTGCTTAGCCAATCCAAGCTTCTGACCTCAAGGTTTTGTAGTGTAGCGGTTATCACTCCGGATTCTGACTATCTTAGAGTTTTCCGGCAACCCCAGTTCGATTCTGGGCAAGACCTATGCTTTTTGCGCTGCGTATCTGCCCACTCTCTGTTCTGTCTTGACCTATACTAACCGCGCAAAGACTGCTACTGTGAAACCATAATGATTCGTTTTGCTAAATGTCAGTTTAGAGGCTAGAAGTCACACTTCTTCTTGCTAACTTATCGCCAGAGCTTATCTGACCTGACGAGTAGATTTAGTATACACAACCAGCTTTCTCTATTCCCCCGCCCGCTCGCCATACTATACAATTAGATACAGACTGGTGATGACGCTCGGTCCAATGAACAGACCAAACCAGAAGATAATGTTTCCTAGAAGGTTACGCCCCCGCATCATCTTAGTCTTCATGAACGCAGCAAGCGGTAGCTGCGTCAGCTGAAACGTAAACAGATACCCTCTAACCTTCTTGAACAGGCAAAACATAAGAACCTCATGTACGACCGCGCTCAGCAGGAAGGTGAAGAACGTAGCCTGCATCTTGGAAAGATGGAAGAAGGATATCGAAGAGTGATAAACGTGTCGCAGAAGGAAGTTATGAACAGGTCTGTTCCAGTCGCGGGCGTACTGGTCAAACGACACGCTGTTCCACCAATCGCCGTAGAAGCCGCGGTCTGCGAAACACGTAATCTCGGCGAGCACGTTGAGGAGGCACTCCCATATAACGTACCAGGAGAGCAGCTGCTCGAGAAGCATAGGGAACAGCATGTCGCTGACGACCCAAGGAAACTCTTTCCAGCGTTCGTCGAGCGACATGCCGGCGTCTTTCAGGCGTACGGTCTCGACAACCACGGGATATATGTATGCTTGAGAGATGATGATCATCACCCAGATGACGCCGAGCGTTGCGGCTGACTTCTCGGCGACATACCACCAATTTATGCGCTCTTGGCGTGGGTACTCGAGGTCATAAACGAGCGTTGGGAGGCACGTCCATTCGACAAAGTTGTAGAGTGTGAGGTTGCTTGGATAGAAGTTAACAGTCGTGGTGCATTTGCCGCGTAGTTCCTCTTCCAAGATAGTGATTTCGGTGTTCAAAACGCGGTGGAAGGCTTGGACCTGCTCAGCGTCCAGTGGCTTGCCGGTCTCGATCGCCTGACCTATGGAGGCAATCTCGGATACTTCGCTTGAGAGGTTTGTCGAGTACTTTGGACCGTTGCTGCGGCGCTTCGTGAGCCCTTGGGGCGCCGGTTCATCATGGCTAGTAGTGGTTGAAGATACAGCGCCAATAGACGACAATCTGGGGCTGTGTTGGGCGTCCATGTTGTCGAGCTGATGGAGCTTCTGTTGCAGGAGATTGCGTCGCTTATAGACACGGGAGACTGGTTGGTGTCAGTTGATATGGTCGTTCGAGTGTTCGCGCAACTTACGATAGCCATTGTAGAATGAGTATGCATGTTGCTTCATGAGCAGAACGAAAACGTGGAGCACGATAAACACTGTATGCGTCCATGGCCAATCCCTCCAAAAGGTGACCCATATTACGGTTACAGTGAAGAATGTCTGCCACAATGACTGTATGATCCAGCCCGATCCGTTCCATGTCAGATAGTCCTTCGCAATGGCCTTGTGCAGAAAGAAGCCAAAACTTGTTGCCGCACACATAGACACGTCTGTCGTAAGCATAACGAACAGATCGCGATCCACCATCAGATGGAGAATTTCTGCATCTCCAAAAATCGAGCCCTGAGTCTTGTAGTTTCCTGCGGCAATGCGCCCCAGTAACAGAAACATCGAGATCCAAAACAGCGTAAAAAATCCATGGAACGGTGACTGTGACACCGGGTTTTGCCGGTCGAATGTCGTGAATTGGCGCGTGAAAACCAAATCTCGACGCAGACCTTTAGACTTGCCTCTGCGTTTACCAGCTTCTCGCTGCATACCGGCTCGCACCATTTCTCTGAAGTCTGGATCGTCCGTTGTTACCGTGTATTTGCTTTCGTTCCCTGCCTTCTCCACCACCACTTGTATGCTCTTTCTGCGCTTCTCATTCTCTTTGGTAAACTCTCGTTCATCGTCCAGGTCGTCGACACTACTTCCATCCGAAGGTATCGCCGTGGTACTACTGCTTCGAACATCTGTCGCGCTCGGTTTCAGTCGGCTTCTATCGTCAACATCGGACACATCGGAAGATGGTTCCGGGGTCCATGTATCCCGCGCATCGAGCGTCGGTCTGCTTGACAGCCCTTGGAAAGCTTGTGACATTTTTGATTGACCGTTGGTTAGTGATGTAAGATGCGGCTTCGAGCTATTGGGCAGTGCTGCGATTTTTTCAAGTCCCATTGTGGAGGCGAGATGCACTGCATCCGCAGATAATGCGAATATGTGGAGTTCAAAGAATTATGCGACGTGTTGTGATGTGGGTCGAGCTTCCTCTCATTGATCAAATTGTACGAAACGCTAGCACTGTTATAAAGTCGCGAGCGAATGTTAACTCGCGTACTCAGGTTCCGAGAGACCCGGTAAGCAGTAGAATAAGGATTGTGACTGGTGAAAGTTGTTGCCTCCAGAATGCCGATCCTGAACGTGACTTGACCCAGCCACATCACCAGCCACACCCTAATGTAACTAGCGGCGTCACGTGGGTTCTCCGTCGTGGTGGGCGTCTTGCACATGAAACCCTAATTTCCACTGGATCGTTTCGCGCCCGATACGTCGCTGTTTGAGGCTGTGCCTCGGGTCGCAGGGCTAGCAACTAATGATGATGCTCACCGGTCGCTTCGCATTTTTCGCATCTAACCCTGTCGCATGAAGATCCCAGGCGTGTCGCCTTCACAACAACATGCAGCGGTGCAGCGGCATGCCTTGAACTGAACCCTGCCTCAGCCCTGACATAATTGGTGGCCAATCAACAATGCCCACAAAAGCCACGAGAAACTTGGCAAGATCTTAGACTCACAACGACCATGATGTGATTCGACGGACAAATGAGAGATACGAGGTGTTGCAGCAGGCTGCAGGAGTGACAAGACAAGGCAGTGCTCAAATATAGGATTCGACACCCCGGGATCGAACGACTTCAAGAAGGCGCTCCTCCAAATCGTGGCTTTGAGCTCATCTGACACTGATATATTATACGGTGATCCCACTGCTTCGGCGACTGCACTTTTGCGATCTGACGTGGTGCGCATCAACGCCTACGAGAATCCTTCCAACCTCAGGTACCGAACCTCGGTATCAGTATGGCACCTAAACGCGGCGGCGGTGGAGGGAGCAGCAGCAGTAGCAGCATTTCTAGCTGCCCAGGAGCATTTGCAACAGTGCCACAACAGGTTTTCTTCGCAAACGATGTCGTTTTTTTCGCCATCATGCTTGGTATCTCTATCGCTATGTGCACTCTGCGGAAGAGGACAGGGGCAGGGAAGAAGCTCGTCGGCATACCGTTCATCGCCTCCGTTCTCTGCCTCGTCGTGTGAGTGTCACAGGTCCCAGAGCTGGTCATAGGCTAACCTTGTCCAGTGCATACGCATGTTCCATCGTTGCAACCGTCTTACAAGAATGCGAAACTACCAGCTATTTCAGCTACTACAACTGGGCGATCGCAATCAGCATATTCCTTAACCTCGGCTACTGGCTACTGCTTTTCGTGGTCGTGTTCACGTTGAACACAATGCTCCAAGCACAGCTCAGCCACGCCTCTAACTTGTACAAGTATCTACTCCTTGCGGTCGTGGGTCTCATGGCCGCCCTCACTTGTGGTCAGATTGGCTTTTCAAGCTATATCAATTGGTCGCAGACGGAGCTTGGTCGTTCTACCAGGTCCTACAGACATGTGCCGTATCTGGTCGCACAGCAATATAGAGCCGCGTTCTACAGCCTCTACCTGGTGAGCGTGCTCGCCTCTGGAGCACTGGCACTCAAGACGATCCTATCCTTGCGCTCGCGAAGGGGCCCCGCAGGAGTAAGCCGTGCAAAAAGTTCACCTATTACCACAACACTAACCACAATACAGGACCTCATTGGCTGGGTCATTGCCCTAACTATATCCATGGTTCTCTGGGTCATACTCATGCTCGTCTTTGTTGCCTGGTACCTCCAAAACGTCGACTACTCATGGGAGTCAGCAGCAGCTGTAAACTACATCCTCAACTTCGGCCAGGCCCTGAGCTACATCTTCATCCTCTGCATCGCCAAGCATTCAGCATGGAGTAAGTCAACCGTTGCTGACCCAATGTCAACCCTAGACGCGTACGCGGGCGCGCCGCCGCAGCAACACTACGCCAACTCCAACGGCCAGGCGTATTACTACCAGCAACAGCCTGTGTACAACGGTGCGGTGAATCCGATCAAGGCATGAGGAGCCCCGTACCGATGCTTCAAGGAGATGAAGAGCCTGAAGAAATTGCATTGCATGGATTTGGGTTCGAACTCGAATTAATCTTTTGTTACGTCTCTTTTGCTGAGCCATATACCCAAAATATCTCCGATGATATACACGCTACATACACAATGCGCATACCCAGCTTTTTGCTCCCCGCATCTGCACTGCCCATCTCTGAACTTTGCTCATGTTAAGTTTTGTAGTAGCTCTACGCCACAGCCCAGAAATAGCCTTGCTCTAAAAAGCAATAGTGTTAACAAGGAGACGAAGCCTTTGGCATAGCCTAGTGAACAAACTTTCGCCGTCCAAATGGATATGTTCGTACAGAACAATCACATGGGACACTGTTGGTCGTTGATGTACCCCAATGAGTATCTCGTATTGCGGGTGCCCTAGGATATCGGCGGATTCCGGTCACTCCAGGTACCAATCTTCGAAGCCCCTCGGGTCTAGTTACCCCACTACGCGCTCAACGACACCCCACCATAGCGTAGGCATTGCCAAACAACCCCTTTTCCTTGTGAGTCTGAAGGCAATTCTCTGTACAAGGAACTTACCAGAAACTGTCGAATCGACTCAATCATCAGCATGGAGATTCGTACCTTGTCGCCGGAGGATGTCGAGGGCGTCGCAACCAGCGCTCCCAGGTTCGTCCCATCGGACCAGATTGATAGCACATTCAAGTCGCAATACACA